GCTGCCAATTGTTCCTGAAAGCCAAAAGCCAAATCTCTAGTGAAAATAGTGAGACGCTGAACATTGAAATGGACATAGTTTATGCGGTCTACATTTTTGTTTATGGTCACCCACCAGAAAAGAGCAGACTCAAAGCCTGCTGCCACTTGATCTGCTAGCTTGTACTCATTTGGGACGCCGCGGGGAACACCAATTGCATCAATTTCCAGAGTAGATGTTTTACCTAAATCAAAAACCAATTCGGGAATATTCAGATCAATTGCTCTTTTGTCACGGTGTGTGTGGAATTTACATTCCCACCACAGGAGGGGTACCACAATGACCACGGCAATGAGGCCAGAAACGCAGAGAACTACACCAGGACGACCATTAAAAAAATGTCAAATTGGCATTTTGTTAACTGTCCCTAGCAATATCTGTTCCATAGGAGCTGTCACACTAAATTTAGTCCTCCTTTAACTGTGGCTCAGGCAGTTTGGATGCCAAATCAGCCCTGACCTGGCTTACTGTACAAACAGTGGGATCCTCTGCTAGTGTGCAGTGTGTTTTATGGATCCAGTTATTTAGCTTGTTATCATTGAGCCACAGTTTAACACAGTGTGTGGTGCTTTCTGCTACCTTGAAAGGTCCTTGCCACCAGGGTTCGAACCAGTGAAGTTTGTGCACTTTGCGGTAGACCCAGCTGTCCACGGAAACTGAGGTAGGCTCCTCAGATTGGTCTCTACGCAGGATTTCAACAACCTGTTCAGAGAGACTCATCACGGCGCTGTTCAATCGTCTGACATATTCACTTATGTCAGCATGCTGCAAAAGAAGAGGTGTTGAATCTCTAGGCATAACATTTAGAGGACAGGGCATTTTTCTCCCTGTCAGGATTTCATGTGGGCTCACATTTAGTGATTTAGTTGGAGTGGACCTGAGGTTGAACAATACAATCGGTAGAGCTTCAACCCAGTTAAGTTTCTTGTCTGCGCAGACTTTTGCAAGGCCTTCTTTAATGGTTCTGTTTGCTCTTTCAACCAGCCCTTGTGAGGCTGCATGATAAACAGCTCCAAACTTATGCTTGATCCCAAACATTTGCTCAACCATGCGTAAATCTTCATTTGAGAAGTGTGTACCATTATCAGATCTGATTATTTCTGGTATACCAAACCAAGGGATTAATTCTCTTGTGAGCCATTTGATTACCTCCTTACCAGTTTCTGATTTTGTGGTAGAGGCCTCAACCCATTTAGAAAACGGATCCACACATACCAGTAAAAACCTTTT